CAGTCTGCTAGCTACCCAATGAGGATAGGTTTCGAAACCGTGTCGAAGGCCTTCCTAAAGTCCAGGAAGATGATATCAGCCTCGGCTCCCGCGTCCAGGCAGTGTGTGACCTGGTCATAGAAGGCTACAAGGTTTGTAAGGCAAGAGCTACCTGCGACAAACCCATGCTGGTTTCCCCTCAGCATCGTTTCCCCTGCCGGGCCTGCACAAATGTGTTCTCCGATTATTTTCTCTAGCATTTTCCCAGGAATAGAGGTAAGACTGACTGGTCTAAAGTTACCTGGCTCATCCCTTCTCCCTTTCTTGAAAATGGGCACCACGTTGGCCCTTCTCTAGTCCTCAGGGACCTGGCCGGAGCACCACGAGTGCTCGAACAGCTGTGCCAGCAGCTCAGCTATGACACTGGCCAATCCTTTCAGCAGCCGTGGATGGAGGTCATCTGGGCCTGCTGTCTTGTACCCATTCAGCTCCTCCAGGAGCTCCTTAACTATTTCAGAACTAACCGGTCATTGAATTGCAAGTGAAAAATAAATACACTGTCTTTCAAAGGACATCAGTGCCATGAAATCTTTGCTTTCTTTGACCTCTAAGCCTGACTGCTTGCTGCAGCCCCCCTTGGCTAGGACTCTGTCAAGGCTGAGTTATGTTCTTGGATGCAGCAGCAGGTAGTTTGGGGGTTTTTAAAAGACTTTCTTATGGCTTCTGGGGACGTTTTTATTCTCTGTGGAGCTGCCCATACGGAGCCGCAGAGGTGCGCAAGGACATCCCGCAGGGTGAAGCAGCTCTTGCTTTTGCTTTTTATGCAGCGAATAGCAATGACCGTGGGCGAGAGTCTTTCCGCCCTGTTTTTAACGATGTGTGCTCTGAGCCATTGCATGTGCAGCTCAAGACAAAGACCTGCGGGTCTGAGCTCCAGGAAATCGTTATGATATCATCACAATCGTTTCGCCGGTCATAGTTGCATAATGAGCTGGCACGGTTCATCACCTCCGCCGTCGTCAATCGAGGGAGCCTCGTTGGGAAAGACTGTAACTGCCTGTGCCCTTTGAGCTTTGCCTAAGCCACCCTGCCAACCTCCTGGAAGTAACCTTTGCCCAGAGCCTGACTCCCAGGCATTTTTAAAGTCTCAGTCACAGTTTTGGAGTCAAATGGCTATCAAACCTGCCATCGGACAGTCTATTTTCGGCTTGGAGAACATCAAGACGGTGACTGTTCGTAATAGCAAAAAACCCAACATTTTCTTTTGCTAGGCTGCTACAAACTCCTAGGGATATTAAAACAGAAAGGCTTTTTAACACAAATCCAGTATTGATTGGTAGGCAAAAGGATACCCAAGGTTGTATTTGCTGTGCTTTGCTTTATCTCCACTGCACGAATTAAGCACAGGTTGCGAACCTCTGGCACAGGCGTAACTAAGC